TATCTCCCTTACGGGACTCAGGGCAGTGAACAGGCAATAATAAAAATCACAGTAAATATTACATAAAAGCCTGCTCTAAAATATAAAACCCCTAACAAAACCCAATCAAAACTACGCCAGGCCGGCCGCATGGAACAGATGAGTTTTCAGGGCTCGGCGGAAGAGGCGCAGGTCCGCAATTGTACGTAGGTCGGGGGGGCAGGTCATTCCAGAGGGCAGGAGCTGCCACAGAGAAGGCTTCTCCCCCCGGGGGTCGCCAGCCGGCATTGGCTGGCCGACGGTACCCTAAGGAGGCCCTCTCTATGGGAGCGGACTGGTCGAAGGGAGATATTTGGTAGGAGGCGGTCTTGCAAATACCTAGGTCCATTGCCATGGAGCGCTTTAAAAGTTGTTACTAACACCTTGAAGCGCATACTTCAGCAGGTTTTATTTCTTGCCTCATTTCTTTTAAATGTCTTCTCCTCCTCCTCTGCACTCAACTTGCATCCTTCTCACTCCTGACTACGAAGTCAAATAGGAAATCCAGATCACAGCTGCCTATTACTTCACAACAGCTGTTAGCAGCCAGTAAACCTAAAAGGATTGTACAGGTAGTCCTCGACTTACAACTGTTCATTTAGTGACCGTTCAAAGTTACAACAGCGCTGAAAAAAGTGGCGGCTCACGACCATTTTTCACACTTATATGACTGCTGTGGTCACGTGATTTATATTCAGGTCATGTGATCCCCTTTTGCGACTTTCTGACAAGCAAACTCAATGGGGAGACCAGATTCGCTTAACAACCATTTTACTAATTTAACAACTGCAACGATTCACTTAACAAATGTGGCAAGAAAAGTCATAAAATGGGTAAAACTTGCTCGATCAATTTCTTACTTAACCGCATAAATTTTGGGCTCAATTGTGGTCGTAAGTGGAAGACTACCTGCAGTAGAAATGATGTAGTCAGGCAGCATCCTCAACTGTTTAGATATATAATCAAATAATAATAATAATAATAATAATAATAATAATAATAATAATAATAATAATAATATACACTTTAATAAGGGAAAAAAACTAGTTTTCCCCAGTTAAAGTTAAACATGAGGTAATGTAGCATGGTTAGTATCGAAATATTAGCATACTTTGATCCCCAGTTTTATTGAATTCAATATTTCCTTCTTAATAAGCATGATTAATCTCTTTCAGCTACAGATAGTCCTTGGCTTATAACAGTTTGTTTAGTGCAAAGGTCGGCAACCATAAACACTCAAAGAGCCACTTGGACCCGTTTCCCACAGAAAAGAAAACACTGGGAGCTGCAAAACCTGTGCGTGCATGTGCGCGTGCACTGGAGGGGGGGCTTGATTGAAGAGTTTAATTAAAAAAATAGAGGGTGCTGTGCATGAGTTCTCTCTCTCTCTCTCTTTCACTCTCTCTTTCTCTCCCTCTCTCGCGCTTTTTCTCTCTCTCCCTCTCTCTTTTTCTCCCTCTCTCTTTCTCTCTCTTTCCTCTCCCTCTCTCTCTTGCCCTCTCTCTCTCTCTCTCTCTCTCTCTCCCTCTTTTTCTCTCCCCCCTCTCTTTCTCCCCCTCTCTTTCTCTCTCCCTCTCTTTCCCTCTCTCTCTCTCTCCCCCCCCCTCTCCCTGTCTCCAATCTTCTGCTCACCTGGCAAGCTGGCTTCACGCTGTTCTCTCCTGCCCTTCCTGCTTCCTGCAGAGATGCAGCCAAGGCAGGAGTCCCGCCCAATAAGCTTGTCAGCTCGTCGGAGAACAGCGTGAGGCCACTCTCTTTTTTACACACAGACACAGAGAGAGAGAGAGAGAAGGGAAGCGCAAGTGCCTCTGTCTCTGTCTTTCTCTCTCTGCAAATGGCAGAGGAGGCTGGGAGCCGCAGGAGAAGGCTCAAAGAGCCATATGTGGCTCGGGAGCTGCAGGTTGCCGACCCATGGTTTAGTGACTGTTCAAAGTTACAACAGCACTGAAAAAAGTGACTTATACTTGTTTTTCACACTTGACTGCTGTAGCATCCCCATGGTCACGTGATCAAAATTCAGATGCTTGGCAACTGACTAATTTTTATGACTGTTGCAGTGTCCCAGGGTCACGTGATCCCCTTTGGTGATTTTCTGACAAGCAAAGTCAATGGGGAAGCCAGATTCGCTTAACAACCATGTAACCACGTGATAAAGTGGGGCAAAGCTCACTTAATAAATGTCTTGTCGGCAACAGAAATTTTGGGCTCATTTATGGTCATAAGTTGAGGACTACCTGTAATTAGGTTAGAAATTATTTGTAGCTCTATCTTTACCTATTTTAGTGACATATTTTTTATGAAATTCTTAAAAAGACTTCAATAAACAAAGGCCAAATAGAAAATGCTACTATTTCCTCAAAGCAATTTTGTTATAGAAAAGCATTTATATCATTTGTAAAGGTATCTAGTAATTTCCCTATAATTAACAAAAATATGTGAACAACAAGCCTGTGTATTTTTCTCCTCCCTCTCTAACATGGCCACAGGAGAAGATGGAAACTCTTTTAGCCTAATTGCAATTTGCATTTGAATCTAGGCAGCAAATGGTTAGAAACTGACTTGTTTTAACTACCCATAATAAATATATTAACAGGGTGTTTCACGGTCCTACCTGAGGAGGTAAAATAGATCTGCAGGCTGAAAGTTCAGAATGTATTTAACCAAGTTTTAGTGCTATGCTTGAATATTGAGATCTTGGCTAGATAACTGACATAAAATCAGAATTCCCCAATTCTGGACAATGTTAACAATACAATCCAGGGCCAGTTTTGTATGATTCCTTGCTAAATAAACCATGATTTATAAAGCGTGGAATGATTATTGTTTTTGGATTGCAGTCCTGTCATTAATAATATGTATGTTATTGACCTGTTTAGTAATATGAGTGAATATATATTATATAAAGCATATTCTTACTTTTTCCTTTTCCCCCCCTTTATTTTGCAGAGTGAAGACCTTAGGTTAGTTATACGAGAGAGAGATGAGCTACAGTCTATGCTAGACAGATTTGAAAAGCATATGATAGAAATTCAGTCTAATGTCAAACTACTAACTGTAGAAAAAGATAAATTAAGTATCCTTTATGAACAGGTAAATAAATATAACCTTGATCCAGAGTAATATATAACTAATGTAATGAAAATCTGCAGTCTCGTCAAAAAGAAGCTAGATTTACTGAACTATTGCAAACCCCAGTTTAGAATGAGAAAAAAGAATGTAAATGCAGAACAAAATACTAATCTATATTGGATAATCATTTATCCTATGACTCGTATTTTGCTTTCTATGAAAGGAATGAGATTCCATCCAACATAATTTCATATTTGTAGTTCATGAATGCATTGCATAAGTATATGCATGAAAATACATATACTTATTGTGTATCTCTGTTAAAAGTCTAGTAATTACTTGGCTAAGCGTATTGTATTTACTTTGATTTGTGTGAGCTGCCCAGAGCTATTGAGTCAGGTGGCATGTACGTTTAATATATTATTCATTTCCTGGGTTATTGCAATTAGACCAGTGGTTCTCAACCTGTGGGTCGGGACCCCATTTGGGGTCAATCGACCATTTCATGGGGGTCGCCAAGCAAGGCTGTCCGCCATTTTTTTTGTCCGCCATTTTTTTCCCCTTTTCTGGCAGGTGCCTTACCTCTCTTGGGCTGGGCCAGCTGGTGGTCGGCCTGCTCCGTCTGTGCCGCTTGCCAGCTACGCCTCGGCCGGTGCAGGGGGCGGAAACACGCATGCGTGGCGCTCCCGGGCAGGGAAAGTCCTCGACTTACAACCGGTTGGGTAGTCCTCGACTTACGGCCGGTTTAGTCCTCGACTTACGACCAGTTTAGTCCTCGACGTACGACCAGTTGGGGTCGCGGCATTAAAAAGGTTGAGAACCACTGAATTAGACTTTGATGTTTATTGGAAGCAGATTGAGTTTTGATACTAAGCCTCCTGAATATTTAATATTAATATTTAATATTGTTAATACATATTAACATTTATCAAATTTACTATATTGATATTAATATGAGCTTGTATTAATATGATAATCTAATATATATTGATAATTAAAACAATAATATGTAATATTATTAATATATAGTTTTAATTTTTTCCATGAAGGAAAAAATACTTTAAAAATAGGTAGAAAGACAAAGTCTGGAATACGGTAGTTACTTTAAATTAATTATTTGGTAATGTTAAATTTAGGAACCAGGTTTTCTTGGTTTGCAATGTAGGAAATTTGAAGATATATTTAGCTAATTTGGTCAAGTCCAGTTTCTTTTTAAAGAATATGTAGCACATATAAATAGATGTCTGTGTAAATGTTTTCAAGTTGAAATGTCAAAGTTATTTTCAATAATATTACAAAATTGTGGAAAGTGAAGTGTATTGGTTTTATCTTATATGGGGAATACTTAAGAAATTTATATTGAGAGATTGGAAAATATTATTACTTCAATTATCAAAGATTGAATCCAGAAATGAATCCATTTTTGAAGAGGCTACATTTTCTAATAATCAAAAAATAATATTTCTCTTTGGGAGACATTTTGCAATATTTTACATGGTGCATCAAAAAAAACCAACTCAAGACGTGTGTGTGTGTGTGTGTGTATGTGTGTATGTGTATATACATTTTCAACTGCATACTGCAGTTTTACTCTTTTTATAGTATGCAGTTGAAAATGTCAAGGTGTTCACAATCAGACTGATCTGTCTGAACTCCCTATAATTACTCCCTTGACTCTGCTGGCAAAAGAGGGGAAGAGAACCTGTGGCTCAGTGACTAAATCACTGCCTAGTATGTATAACTTTCCAGGTTCGAATCCCATAAAGGGTATGGCTAACTGATGAAGGCAAAAAAGCCACAAATGGTCCATCTTAGTCTCCCAATTTAATTCTTTACTCTTTGTCAGAAAAAAAGAAATTTGGATATAAAAATACTTCGCAGTTGTGACTTGAGCCTGCTTAATGCCCCTAGTTTGGGGGGCTGCAAGGCAAAAGTGATTATAAGTAGAACTGCAGTATAGCAGTCAAAATACCAAGGTGCATCAATCAGACTGGTCTGTCTGGAAAAAACTTTCTGTGTGTATATATGTATGTATGTATGTATATATGTATGTATGTATGTATATATGTATACATGTGTGTGTGTGTGTGTGTGTAAAATATTGCAAATATATAATATATTAGTTTTATAAGGGTATTACATTAAATATCAATATTTTTTTTTTTAGTTTTTCTAGTTGATGTTCTTTTTTGTGTTCAGTTTAGTATTATACATTTCATAAGTAGTATGCTGGGTATTGTTTTCTTTTAATTTCTGTTTGTATGATTTGCTTTTTGTTCTTGCCTTTTAAAAATTGCAATAGAATTATAATGTATTTAATGACTTCTTCAAAAACTAGAGAGCCAGTTTGGTCAAATGGTTAAGGCACCAGACTAGAAGCCAGGACACTGTGAGTTCTAATCCTGCTTTAGGCATGATTGCTGACTAGGTGACTTTGGGCCAGACAGTGTCTCTCAACTCCTCTCAACTCATGTGGTTGTTATGGGGAAAATAGGAAGAGGAAAAAGCATAAATTCAACACCTTGAGTTGTTTATTTAAAATAGTAAAGGCCGGGTAAACATCTTTTTAATTTTGTATTTTTAGTCTCAGAATGAATTAAACCATCTACGGAGAGAGAAAAAAACCTGTTTTCTAACAAAAAATCATGCAGAAGAAGAAAGAAATATTGCATTGGCTGATTTTAGAAGAGTAGTATCAGAGAAAGAAGGACTAAGGGAGAAATTAAAGGTCAGCTTTTAATATTTTCTGTAGTTTTCAGTAATGAAATAATTTTGATCTGGTTTCTTATCTAAAGTGGCTATCTCTGGGTCCTGTAACTTCAGACTATTACTGATAACATCATAAGGATTTCAAAAAGTGCATTTTTATTTTTTTATAAGCATTATGTTAAGAGTATTGCTAAAACTTTCTTTTTCCAATGTTGCCTAACGTTTAACAATGCCCCAGACCAAAAAAATTACAACAGAAAAATGTTGCCATTTTGAGAATTTGGGCCAAATGTTAATGGCCACGTTAGAAAGAGAAATTTACAGCTGATTTGAAATAATTGATTGTTGATATACAGTATATTGTTTGTCAACATTTGAGTTGAGAGTTGCTATGCAGAGTGAGATAAGTGGCATATAAATCAAATAAATAAACATTTGGGGAACTTTTTAACAAAGAAGTTAGGGAGAATACCTTTGAGCAATGTAGTCAACTTCTTGGACTAGTTCTTTTTCCCAGCTTTTAACAATTTTTATTACTATGTTTATTAATTTTAAGACTATATTATCTTGTTAATTGTAGATGTATGCATTTTTCTTTTTTTAATTTAGTTTGATATAATAAAAGTATTAAAATAGGAATGCATCCCTCACGTTAATAAAATTATGCTAAATAAAAAAAGTCCGCATATGAAGGAAGCAATTAAAATCTGAAAACAATTTTCACACATGCTACATCTTCTGTTCATAAATTCTAGGTACCAGATTTAATCTATATCAAAATAAGTACTTTTTTCTCTGTTGGGAACCTGGCCACACAAACGACGGTGCAGCTTCATGCAAAACCATCCCCTCTTCCCATCCCCCTGCCACTGTCACTATCAGTCTGCAGAACCAGAAAAGATTGGGGACTGCTACTGTAGTAAATTGCTTATATGAAGTTCAAGGTGTTATGCAGAGGTTATGCAGTGAAGCAAGAAAAAAAAATACATGCTCACTTTGAATTAATAAGTTATTCTGCTTTTTTGTTTTGCTTCTTATTTCAACTATATTTGTGGTTCTAAAGGAAAACAAAATAGATGCCATTTTCCTTTTGACAGTCATGTACCATTAAGTCGTTTCATTGTCAAGTTTAAAATTTTTTATTCCAAAATGCAGTTAGGATAATTGGGGATATTTTAACATTATTAATGAAAGGGCTCATTACTGATCTGTCTTACTTTGTTTTGCTAGATCCAGCAGGAGGAATATACTTTAGATAAATTAAAATTGGAACAGGAAGTATCAAGATTGGAAAGCACTCTGAAAAGAGTAAGTATTTAGCCCAAATATTCTGATTGGATTTGGAGCCATATTTTTTTTATGTAGTCACTATTTCATGATTATTTGAAAAGAAATCATAGGGGCCATGTGTGTGTGTGTGTGTGTGTGTGTGTGTGTAATTCCTGTTACTACAAGGCAATTTACCTTATTGTGGATTTCACTGCCATTGATCCTTACTATCATTTTAGTGGAGCATACTGTGAAGGACTGATTTAAATTGCAGTCTCTAAAATACATTCAGTTTAAAAATGTCACGCAGGTTTGGAATTTCTTTTGCTCTGCAGTTGGAGACAGAACGTCTTGATCAAATATCTACAGTGTCATTGTTAAAAGACAAAATAAGCTCTTTGGAAGATGAACTAAGCATTAAGACTCATCAGCTCTTAAACACATCTGAAGATTCTTCACAGTATAAGACAGAATTGAGTTCACTAAAGTAAGCTCAGCTATGTATTTTATAACAATTAAATGTGCATTTGCAATTCATTTGATGCTGTGGCTTCGGTGATATGCCCCTAAAAAAGAGGTCTCCACTTTGCATTTGCCTGATAATCAAACTGGAAGTAATAATATGGCTAATCTGATTGAGCAGTAAGAAAAACGTATGCTGAATTTGTTTAGAAAAAGTTTATATTAATTTACATGTTCTAGAGATTAATATTGATCCAGTGATATTAAGTGGCAGGGCAAGCTAGTGAATATAAATAGACAGCAAATTCCATACTCGTTCACACTGATGATGTTACCTAATTGGTAACAGTCTATTTCATTGGAAAGTGGGGGTGTATTTCTTAAAAGCAATGTCATTCAGTTTCAATTATGTAATTATGTTTGGTGATATTCATTCCTACGAAAATTAAAAGGGCGATTTTGGAAAACATGATTTTTCATTCTGGGAAGTCTAAAAAAACGGTATAGCATTGATTTAGCTCTTTTATTCAATCTAGCTCACTATTTCTTTATAAATTATAATACCCACTGAAGGTACTGTACAGTATAAATGGATTCATATCCTGTGGCCAATATTATATTTAACGTAACTGTCTTGATTTTACAGACTATTAAATGAACAGATTCAGAAATCCCTAGATGAGATACAGCACCAACTGTCTTTTAAAGAAAATGAACTTCAATCAGCTCAAGAGGAAATTGAGATATTAGAGAACAAAATAGGTGAATGAAGTTGTACTGTATTATTAAGAAAAAAGTACAAATAATCTAGTTCAGTTCTGCACAAAATCATTCACAGTCAGGTTTTAACAGGAGTAAACAGAACATAAATAAAACAAGTAATTTTTTGGTTCAAACTTGAGGCTGAATTTAGCATTCAGGCTGAATTTATTCTAGTTGCTGGACTTTCTTCTTCATGTATTTTGTAAAGTTTATATTATTCAAATTAGTTAATAGTAAATGTATACATGCAACATATTAATGAAAAGTGATTCAAAATTAAGTATAAAAAGACTTTGTATAAACAACTACAAAAATGTGAACATATTCCTTGAATGTCATTTTTGCCTCTTTATCAGAAAAAAATATTCAAATGCTGACATCAGAAATACTCAGAAGGAATTATAGACACTTCTAGTCTTTTATCTTTGAATAAGAGGGTGGGATAAAAGTTCTGGGAATTCTTATCTTAAACAAAAGCTAGAATACAACTGAGGGCATCAAGTCTAGTTTGCTCCAATTCATAGAGTAATTGGATAGAATACCATACTCATGTATGAGTATAATATAATAGTATAGTATAATCTGCATTGAGTACATTGTTTTGCTCTGCCCTCTGCTATAATTCCATTAGCATTTTAAAAAATTCTGATTATGTGTATTACAGATTCTAAAGCTTAATTAAGAAAAAAGCAAAAAAAAATCCCATGTTTCAGTACCTCAAAGTATACTTAATGAAAGAGAGAGAATGCCATTAATAATTATGCAGTGTAGATTACAAGCTACATTTATCTGAAATATAACGGTTCTTGTTTGTTTATTGCTTTTCTAGATTTTGGGCCGTCCTATTTTTATAATTTATGTTTTCTTGATGTTTTTATAATCTCTATGTAGATTATAAAAATCAAACTATATTTTCTTGGTGTTTTTATTTTACACTGCCCAGAGTCATCATAGAGCTGACATCTTCATACATTTTTAAAAAGCAAATAGTACTTGGGGGGGGGAAACCTAAAAGTCAAAATGGCAGCCATTCTCTGACAGATATTTCCAAACTTCACCAGGATTTTAACTTTCCAAGGTCACATATCTGGTTTGAAATTAGCAAACAGCAGAAGTTTTGTAAAAAGCAAAGCTTTAACATACTTTTCAGTTAAATTGGGATGACTGACTATTCTTCCCCAATCATTTGTTGAGTGTAGCAATAAGAGAATTTATCAACCACAATCTCATAATCCAGAACACAAGAACCCAGAACAAATACATCAATACTGGTGTGCTTACAGGGGTTAGAGTTTTACATGGTCAAAGCAAGTGAACCAACTAAAACTTTTGTTTTTTTGCTGTTTTCAGATACACTCAATACTAAGAGCTCATCGCAAAGTGAGACTGTCATTCTGCTCAGAAGTACTGTTAATGCCTTGGATAAGGAAAAAGATAGCCTTCAGGAAAGCATAGATGAAAAAACTGAAAGAATTGCATATCTAGAAGACAATTTAGCTAACAAGGTATTTATACAAAATAGGAAATGGAATATCAGAACCGTTTTATCTTAATTCTTATTGAATAAAGGGCAGGATGGTGTTTTTTCCCCCCTATAACTCTTTTTCCATTCTGTTAATTTCTTTCTCTTTCTTCTAGCAACTTTGTTTTTATAATATTAAGAAGGTTTATGGAAAGAGAGGAATAAGAAAACCATCCAATCTGGGAAAGGTGTTACGTGGGACTCTTAAGAACTTAATTGTATCTGCCTGATAAAGAAGAGCATGCACGACATAAGTTCCCTTTGTAACCT